CTTACTGCTTATTCGACAACGTAGAGGACTGAGCCATTCCCGACTGCAAAGACACTTCGTCCGGCCAGACGAGAGCAAAAGAGGGGATCGCTTCGCGTCACTGCTGTGCGAGTTTGAGTTCAACATTGGCAATACCCAACAACAACAACAAGCTCGGTGAGGTGAGCATATAGCGTATCTTCGATACCAAACCCTCACGCAACTACTACTACTACTACTACTACTACTACTACTACTACTACTACCACTACCACTACCACTTGTGCGATGGCTACTACTGCTAGTAGCAGGGCCACGACGACTACTTCTGCCGCCACCGCTGCTACTGCCACTGCCACCGCTATCATTGCTATCACTGCCATCACTGCTACCATTGCTAAAACTGCTACCACCGCCACCACCGCTGCCACCGTTGCCAGGGGTACCACTGCTGCTACTGTTGCCGCTGCTACCACTGCCCCTTCCTGCTGCAGGTAGTGCGATTACAGCTTTCACGATGAGGGCTACTCTACTAGTCTGCTGCAAATGCTAGCAGCAATCATGGCAACAGTAGCGTATGTTCCGAGGAGAGAAGAAGAGGTGCGAACTGCTGCTGATAGGACTCGAAGTAATCATGCAACTTGCCGACCTGTGCCCGAGGCATTGCTCTTGGGATGGTTCTCCAGAATCGCTTCCACTACATTTCGGTAGTAGTAGTAGTAGTAGTAGTAGTAGCAGTAGCAGTGGTGGTAGTGGTAGTAGTAGTAGTAGTAGTAGTAGCAGCAAGTAGTAGTAGTAGGAGTAGTAGTAGTAGTAGTAGTAGTAGGCTGCTGCTGCTGCTGTGACTTTGTCATTGCTTAGGTCTCCTTGATATTGTCGTTCCCTATATATTCTACACCAGGGGCTTGTAGTGGGACTTTGTGGAAGAGTTGGTTATGGTAAATCCATTTTTGCAGCATGCGTTCATGGCACCTTTTCAGTGAGCCCCTGTGGTCCTAAAGCATGCAAGTCTGCCTTTTAAGACAAAGGCCACCCTAAACCCTCAAGCCCTAAACCCCTAAACCTTTTATTAACTATCAAGCCTAAACTTCCAGACTGACAGGGTTCAAGCAGCCCTAAACCCTAAACTCTAAACCCTAAGCCCTAAACCCCAAACTTTACCCTACACCCTAAACCCGAAAGGGTTGATGTCTACAGGAGCAGCTCGCTGCCCCCGGGCCCGGGAGATGACCCAAGCACGCCGGCATGGTCTGGGGTTTTGGGGTTTACAGTTTAGGGTTTGAGGATTTAGGGTTTAGGGATTTAGGGTTTAGGATTTAGGGTTTAGGGACTCCTTGAAAGGTCTCTGGAAGGGCTTCAGAAGGGGTCTACAAGGGTCTTATGACGTTGATAGTATCGGGGCCCTTAATA